AGCACCCACATGGCAGCTAACAACTGTCTGTAACTCCAGTTCCAAGGGATCCAACAGCCTCTTCTGTCTTCCACGTGCATTGTACAACACGGGTGCACTTACCTACATGCAGGCAATACACGTATACACATAAAATAAAAGTAATAAATAAAATATTTTTAAAAAAATTAAAAAATCTGGCCAGGCATGGTGGCGCACACCTTTAATCCCAGCACTTGGGAGGCAGAGGCAGGCAGATCTCTGTGAGCTCAAGGCCAGCCTGGTCTACATAGTGAGTTCCAGGCCAGCTGAGGCTACAGAGAGACCCTGTCTCAAAAAAAAAAAAATTAAATCTTAGCCGGGCGTGGTGTCACATGCCTTTAGTCCCAGCACTTGGGAGGCAGAGCCAGGCATATCTCTGTGAGTTCAAGGACACCCTAGTCTACATGGTGAGTTCCACAGCAGCTGGGGCTACAGGGAGATCCTGTCTCAAAAAAAGGCCAAAAAAGAAAAGAAAAAAAGGGGGAGTTGGGGGCTGGAGAGATGGCTCAGCAGTTAAGAACGCTGACTGTTCTTGCAGAAGACCCAGGTTTGAATCCCAGAACACACATGGCAGCTAACATGTCCGTAACTCCAGTCCCAGGAGATCCAACAACCTCTTCTGACCTCCGTGGGCATTGCATGACATGGGTGCACTTACCTATGTGCAGGCAATGCACACAAACACATAAAATAAAAATAATAAATAAAATTTTTTAAAAAGACCAAAAAAAAAAATCAGAATCTTCCTACATTGCTGATAAGATTGTAAAGGGATGCATGTACTTTTGAAAATAGTTTGGTAGTTCCACAAAAGGTTAAATTCGGAGTTACTATATGACTCAGAAATTCTACTCCTAAGTATACATATCCTAAATAAAACATATACATTAGTGTTCATAGCATTATTATTTATAATAGCCCAAAAGTAAAATGGCTCAAATATCTATCAGTGGATGAATGGTACATACAGTCTGGTATATCTACAATGAACCAGTATTTGACCATAAAAATAAGCGAAGTGCTGGCCAGGCATGGTGGCACAGGCTTTAATCTCAGCACTTAGGAGGCAGAGGCAGAGCTCTCTGTAAGTTCCAAGCCAGCCAGGGCTACACAGTGAGACCCTGTCTCAAACAAACAACCTACAAAACAACAAAAAGAAGTAGATACATGTTACAAAAAATATGAGCATCACGCAGAGAAAAAGAATCCAGACACAAAATCACAAGTTACATGATTCTCTTTATGTGAAATGTCTGGAAAAGGCAATTCTATAGAATCTGAAATTAGATTAGCAGTTGACAGGGGTGCAGAGAAAGAGAATGGGGCATGACTCTAATGGAGAGGGAGTTTGTTTTGGGGGTGATGAAAATGTTTATAAATGGATTGTGTTGAGGGTTATACAAGTGTGTAAATTTGCTTTAAAAACCATGGATTTCTATTCTTAAAAGAGATGAGTTTTATGGTATATGGCTTATATCTCAATAAAGTCATTATTTAAAAGTCTTATTCTTGAGTAAATGTCTAGTTCAAAAGTCACACCCAGCACTTCTTTTTTAAAAATACTTTATTATTTTTATTTTATGTGTATGAGTGTATTGCTTGCATGTATGTGCACCCATGTCATGCAATGCCCACAGAGGTCAGAAAAGGCCATTAGATCCTCTGGAATTGGAGTTTCAGTTTTTAGCCACCATGTGGATGCTGGGAACTGAACTCAGGTCCTCTGCAAGAGCAGCCAGTGCTCTTAACTGCTGAGCCATCTCTCCAGCCCCCGACCCAGCACTTCTCTTTAAAAATGTGTTTAGTTTATGTGTATGTGTGTTTGCCTGCATGAGTTTATATGCAGCACATGCATACAGGAGCCTGTGGAAGCCAGAAGAAGGTGTCAGATCCCATGGAACTGGAGTTACATGCAGTTATGAGCTGCCTGATGTGGGTGCTAGAAACTAAACCTCTGCAGGATTAGCAAGTGTTCTTAACACTGAGCCATCGCTCCAGATTCCCTACAACCAGCACTTCTTGAAGCTTCACTGCAACTTTTTTGAGGGGTGGTGAGGGGATGGAACCTATAGTCTTGGCCTTACTAGGAAAGTTACTAACTTCAGTTACTGGCAAGCACTCTTCCATGGAGCTACGATCCCAGGCCTTGTTGCTTTTTTCTTTTTTCTAAGACGGGCTCATTATGTAGCACAGGATGGCCTTGAACTCACAGTCCTCCTGCCTCCGCTTATCAAGTACCATTAGGTGTGCACCACTAAACCTGGTCTCACAAGAACCTCCTTTCTGTCTGCCTCCCCCACCCCAATGAGTCTCACTGTTTAGCCTAGGCTGGCCTTGGTTTCCTTGCGCTCCCTTGTTTCTGATTGTAAGTACAGCTTGCCTGAGGTATCTTTGTTTACCCTCCAGCTCCTGTCATATAGTACTTTGAAGTGTTTATACAAATGGGTTTAATTAAAGGATTTTGGAAAAAAACGAAGGACTCCTGCTGGAGAGATGGCTCAGTGGTTAAGAGCACTGGCTGCTCTTGCAGAGTACCTGGATTTGATTCCCAGCACCCACGTGATGACTAACAACCATCCATAACTCCAATTCCAGAGGAATCCAACACCCTCTTCTGACCTCCATGGGCATTGGACCAAATGGGTTCACTTACACACATGCAGGCAATTCACTCATATACATAATTTTTTTTTAAAAAAAGGACTTAGAGTCATAAGAAATTTGACAAGAGAATAGATAAATGGATTATAAAAAGATTTGTGGGAAAACCATGACCTCTAGCTTGTTTCCTTCCATGTAGCAGATTCTAGAGGAGACACAGGAACCCACAGATTGCAAACCCAGGAACTCCCTTTTCATTCTTTGCAAAACTTCCTTTACACCCCCAAAAGACAATGCCTATTGGCACCTATACACCTGAAACTTTGCATAACCTGGATCTTGTATCTTTGTACAAAGAATGCTATTTGTGTGAAAGACAGCTCATAAACAGCACTTACTCTTTTAATAAAAATGTCTTTTAAAAGATTTGGGGGATATAAGGAGGAAGTCTGGGGTGAATTACTAATTTGTTAATGTAGTGAGATGGCTAGGCTACATTAGCAGATGATCATACAGCAAGGATAACAACAGTGAACACTGAGCATTTGCACATGGTGATCAGTGCTCTAGACACAGCGTTAGCACCTGTATATGCCATGTGTACTTGCCATGATGTTTCACAGTAACAAGGAATGAGTGTAAGAAGTTTATCTCTCATAAGTAAATATTTTATCATCGTTTCTTATCTTTTGTTACCTTTACTGCTCCAGCTCTCTCTTCTAGAAGTTTCTATGTCCTCCTGGGCAAGGGTTCTGGGAACTACATGTCCTGGGCATGTTTGCTGGAGACTGATCCTGCTCATACACTCACGCTTGCTCCTATGTATAAACATTAGAAACAAATCATAGGGAGCTGCAGGGTGGGGTAGGGGAGGCGATATGTGGAAACTCTATACTTCTTGCCCAATTTTTCCTCTATAAACCTAAAACTGCTAAAGTATGTGTATTACTTTTTAAGAGTTGAGACGAATGTCTCTTATCCACCTAGAGTTCATTTTTCTCTGTGAGTTTCTAAGCTGTCATTGGTGTAGAGGGTCTTAAGACCACGGATGGTCCCCACGGTGGAACCCTGAGGAGCTTCCCTCCATTTGCATTGCTTCCCTGCCCCGGGGACCTTCTCACATGGAAATTCCCTAGAGACTAGACAGTGGCCAAAGTCTAGCCATTTTCACAGGTTTTTATCTGCAACACTACACTTGTGGGCTGGTTTGCCTCCAGTTTCCTATTCTACAATCAGCCTGACCCAAAGGCACGTTTTCCCAAAAGGTGGGACAAGAGGGGAGGGACTTTGGAGCCACTCCAGTACAGATGTCACAGCTACTCTTTCAGCTCTCGGAAGATCTCCCGGTCTATGTTTGTATGTTTTTAAAAGGTTTTACTTATTTATTTTTATTTTTTGTGTATGAGTGTTTTGCTTGCATGCATGTAATGCCCATGGAGGCCAGAAGAGGGTGTCGGATCCCCTGGAAGTGGAGTCATAGATGGTGTTACCTGCCATATGGGTGTGGGGCCCAGACCCTGGTCCTCCAAAAGAACAGCCAGTGCTCTTAACCACTGAGCCGCCTCTCCGGCCCTCCATACAGGTCTTTGAGTGACACTTTTAAATTTTTTAAATCTTTCTTTGAGACAGGGTCTCCCTGTAGCCCCAGCTGTCCTGGAACTTACTAGGTAGACCAGGCTAGCTTCGAACTCACAGAGATCTGCCTGCCTCTGCCTCCCATGTGCTGGGTTTAAAGGCTGAACCACCAGGCCCAGCTTGAGTAACATTTTTTGATTCTTCCTTATCTTTCATTGCAGCTCTTAACATGCACAAAAAAATCTGGGGGTCATGAGATCTTGGTCTTTCTCAGTACAGACTGTGCGGTTATTAAAATTGGGTGGCAGCCCAGCAGGAGGATATATGATGGTGAATATGGACTACAGATCTCACCTAGATACAGACATACAGAAGGATTTCAGGGAAGAAGGCCAAAGGATCAAGAGCAGGATGCTGTCTGACCCTCAAGCTAGAAGGGCCTCCCCGACAACTTTCTCTCAGAATGAATCTTGACAGCAGCTTTGCATCCATAGAATTCACAACTTGCCTGGGACTAGGAAGAACTGAGTCAGCTCCTGGGATTTTCCAGATGATTTTGTATTTCATACATGAGATATGAGAAGAGAGAGAGAGGAGAGAGAGAGAGAGAGAGAGAGAGAGAGAGAGAGAGAGAGAGAGAGAGAAATTACACAGACAACAGATCTCACTAATAACTGTGAAATTGGATCCCAGAGTTCCAAAAGTTTCCTTTGCTACCCGCTGACAATGCCCAGGGAGCATTTAAACTAGGAGGAACCCAGTGAACAATGAGAGGTGGATCAGTTGGAAAAGTAAAAGTTTTTAAGACCATGCTTTCAGGGATCATTTCTATAGTTTGTAACTAGAGAAGTTTCTCTGACTGTATAAGAGTACTAGAAACCACGAGGACAAGACATAGTGTTCCCTCCTGAGTATGAAGCTGGCTTTTGGTGTTGCTTTTTTGCAACTGCCATTTGCCATTGATGATTGTTCTTCTCTTCATTTGGAAAAGTTGGAGGGATCACAGTCTGAGTGGTAAGAGAAAAGAAAAAAGTAAAAGTTTTCCACAGTTGGACTGGGTGACTAATTCTTTTGCACTGTAAGCTATAAATTATGGAAACTGACCCTATTATAGCTAGGGGAAGGGGAGCAGAAAGAAGTTCAGAGACCCAAAGTCTCAGAGGGATGAAAGTACTCAAAATTTCAATGACCAGTTTCCTCCCATTTTCAAATGTGTCAAGAGGGAACAAAGCAAGTTGGGTCGGGTGGTACTCGCCTCTAATCTCAGCTGAGGCTGGAGGGACTATAGAGTAAGTTCTAGGACAGGCTAATAACTTGGTGGGGCCCTGTCTCCCTAAATTCAATCCCCAGCACTAGGCTGGAGGTAGGAGGAGCAATTGGAGTAGTAGAGGGGAAAGGGAGAGGTAGAGAGGGCAGGGAAAGAGAAGGGGGTCCAGAATGGAAGCCTGAAAGGAGAGTAAGGAAACAAGGAGAGTAAGTAAACAAGAGTGTGGACTCACAGGAGTCGGGCAGCAGACAAGAGAGAAAGCAGACAGGATTGCCGTGGAGATTGGGGTCAAGGGAAGGGTTTTTTTTTTTTGGTCTTTTTGAGACAGAGTCTCCCTGCCGTCTCCTGGGGAATAGACTTCCTCTTCAACCAAGAGTTTTTTTTTTTTTTTTTTTTTTCCAGGATGGATATAAAGGAAGAATTCAGGAACTCATAATTTTGGGTCATGTTCTCATATCTAGTTCACTAATTTAGGCTCTCTTCAAAGGCAGTTCTGCTATATATATTATAATATATATATATTATGTATATGAGTGTATTGCCTGCATGTATGTACAACCATGTCATGCAATGCCCACAGAGTCCAGAGGAGGGTGTCAGATCTCCTAGAACTGGAGTTATGGATGGTTGTTAGTCATCATGTGGGTGTTGGGAGCAAATCTGGGCTCCCTGCATGAGCAACCAGTGCTTTTAACCGCTGAGCCATCTCTCTAGCCCCTATATATGTTTTTTTTTTTTTTTGGTGTTGTTGTTTTGTTTCTTGTTTGTTTATTTTTTGAGACAGGGTCTCACTATGTAGCAATGGCTGGCCTGGAACTTGCTATGTAGACCACTAGGCTGGCTTCCAACTGACAGAGGTCTGCCTACCTCTGCTTCCCAAGTGCTGCAATTAAAGACATACTCCACCAGGCCTGGCTTAAATACTGCACTGAACCATTTACTTTAAAAGGTTTCAACTTGTCATCAGAACACAAATACAGAACTCAAAGTCGACTTGTAATTCATTCTTTAAAAAAACTGGCAGAATGAAGATAAAGAGCATTTAGTATAATCAGAAGTATTTAAACACAAAAACACTGAGCTGTTTACTAAGAAAGTTTTCACATAAACCTTCTACAAGAAGATATCCATTGGTTACTGAAGATGATGTGCAAAGAAACTGTTCTGAGACTGCGCGTTCTGTGTTGCTCAGGGTGGTGTAAAACTCTAAGACTCAAACAATTTCCCCAGTTCGGCTTCCCAAGTCCTAGGGCTACAGGTGTGTGTCACCATAACTGGCTTAGTTTGATTGTGGGACAGTCACCAAGGAACAAATATAGAATTCCACAGAAACAAATGGCAATCACAATGCTATGCCACCATCCAGGCTTTGAATATTTTTATGAATAAAATTGTTCTACAGAATACAGAAACATACTAATATAGGATGTAATGAGTCTTACAAATCAATTGGCTAAAATAAGAAGTTAAGCAGCATGTCCATTTTAGGGATTGTCTTTATATTAAATGTGCCCTAAAATACCACATTACTTCAAATCCAGCGCTTGTCAAATAATTATTGGCAAAGACCCAAGGACTATTCTTTGAGCCATGGATCTCAGGATGATTTTTTTCCTAAGTGAATCACTAATTTTCAAGGGATGATCTTTTCCCTTCAAGGGACATATCATGTAGTCCAGGAGATTTTACAGAGTGCAGGCTCTTTCCTTGTCCCCATTTCCACCCTTCTCTGTGTATTGCAGCAAGCTCTGTTGAGAAAGCTGAGCTGCAGAAAAGCACTTGGCATTTAAATGAGAACAGAAGGGAACCAGCAGCTCTCTGCCCTGTCCCTGGTCTCTAAGGGAAAGTTGCTGACGGGCAGCCCAGGCACTGTCCCCAGAAGCCTCATATCACCGCAGCTTCTTGCAGAGTCACTGTGGAGGCAGAGAATTTTGTTCTGTTTCCTGGCACAGTCACTGAGGTCTCTGTAGTTTAGACTTGAAAATATTCCTTTCCTCTGTTGCACAGATGGATGTTAAACCACTTATTTCTGAAACAAGAAGCCTCACCTAGCTCTAGGAATTATCCTGAAAGACAATCAGATGAAAAGTTCAAGGTAGCAAAATCAGCAAACTTCAGCGTAGTAGAACCATTTTCACCACCTAACGGAACCAAGTCCAGGTGGATAGTGAAACATTCCTCTTCCCAGTCTGCCCTAACCTGTTATTTCTGTTGCCTTTGCTAACCAGCCACTGCTCAAGCAGAAATACACTAAAATATGTATTTGAATAATTTGCCTCCTTTTGTTAGTAAGTATTCTGTTTCTCTCCCAAGGGCAGCCATAACTGTATACTGTTTCCCAAGATTCTACTCACTGGCCCTGACCTCTCAGACACAGAACAGGAGATTCTTCTTCCTTCCCTTCCTCTTCCCATTTTGAACTGTTTGGAAGATTAAGAATAAGAGAAATTTATGCAGCTGAAAATGCTACAGAAGAGTACAGGTGAAACATGCTCATACAGGAGTGACACTGTTTGAAGGTGAATTGTAGGCATTTCCTGCATATCTGTTTACTTTTATAGAAGAGGAGGAGGAGAATGAAGAGGAGGGGGAGGAGGAGGAGGAAGAGAAGGAGGAAGAGGGGGAGGAAGAGAAGGAGGAAGGGGGGAGGAGGAGGAAAAGTCCATAATATAAATTTATTTAATTTTTTTAGTTTTTGATGTTTTGAGACAGAATCTCCCTATAGCCACAGTTGGCCTGGAACTCACTGTGTAGACCAGGCTGGCCTCGATCTCATAGACATCAACCTGCATCTGCTTTCCAAGTTCTGGGATTAAAGGTGTGTATCTCCATGACTGGCCCCATAATAGAAGCTTAAAACCAAACACAGTGCTTTTGAAGCACTAACCTATGGACACTGGGCTCCACAGATACCGTGGATGAAGCTGAAGAAATGCCAGGCAGGACAAAGTGAACAACCTCTTGGTTTCCATGGAACTAGCATGGAAGGGAACTCTCAGAGACTGATAGGGTAAACCTGAAGACTCTGAGTGTGGGAAAAGAACTGAGATTTAGAGCAGCAGAAGGTAATCAAAGTGTTGAATAAAGGAGAAGTTCTTCCTTACACAGGATGGCTTAAGTCTGATCTGGAGAAGGTAAAAATGACATCTTTGGAGTTGTATGGAAGACTGACATACCCACTCTCTTATGGGATCATATTGGGACAGAGAATGGAGCATTGAAAACATAACCCATTCAAAACAATGAATTTGCAGTAGCCAGATAATGATGAGTTTAAATGATCCCTATGGCCTGGATTTCTCTTGGCCTAGAGAAAACTCTAATCTTTGAAGCTTATGGAGGAATGACTTGATCCATACCAGGGGCTTGTGGAAAAAATTGAGAAAAATAAACTATAAAAGTTTGACTCATAATGATGCTGCCTGTCTGTCGACAGTAGATGGTCATTTCTTTGGAGAGGCCTAAGAGTCTGGGTATATTTCAAATGGGAACAATGAGAACTGTTACTGATATGAACCAAGTTCACAGTTTCCCTAACCGCTAACCCAGCCTGGTCCTCTGCTTAGGAAGAAAATTCTGCTTTCCAAAAAGGATTTCTCCTAAGAAAAATTGTTCTGACCTCATTCTCTAAGCCATATGAATTCTCTGCCTTTCTGGTGGAAATAGAAGAGAGTCCTCGGGGCCCAGGAAAAGGGAATTTTATTAATCATCTTGAGAGAGAACAGCATCAATTGATACAGAGAAGCAATGAATCAACTGTCAATCTGGAAAAAAGAAACAATAATCTCGAAAGAGTGGGATGTGGATGGAAACTCCTTTGCTCTGTTCTTATGTCCTCCTTATCTGCATGTGCTGTCACAAAGCAGAGACTTCTCTTTGAGTTATATTATTCTACACACATGTGCATGCTCACATATATACAGATGCATACATATTACACACACAGGCATACACAAGATGCACCTCAGAGCAGCCTTCTCATCACTTTCACAATCTGGGTTCATAAGAAAAACTACAATGAAGTATCTCGTCTCAGGACCTCATAAGCTTTTTTGTTATAATTATTATAATAATACCATTATTGCCATTCATGATAGGAAAAATAGAGACCAAGGAAAACACCATGGGCTCCTGTCACTGGAAGGGAAGGGTAACTGGGAGATGACCTCTGGTCCTGTCTCTAGTCCCAGGCTGCCTGCCCTGCCCCTGCTCAGCTCAACCACCTCAGAGCAGCTCCACCATTCCCAGGTTTGCTTTGGGTCTTGTACTTGCTGATAGGCCAAGGAACTCATTAGGTGAATTTGTTTTTTATGTTGGCCTACTGTCTTCTAGATTCCAAGGCAATTCTTCCCAGCTCACTTCTTATTTCTCTAATTTCATAGCTCTCCAGCCTGTCTGAGGAGGAGGAGCACACTTTGCTGATGTGACAAGCTTGGTGGACCTGAAAGTGGGAAAATTCAACATGACAACCACCCCTCTTTTTTGGTCTTTTTGAAATAGGGTCTCTCTATTGTCCCAGCTGGCCTGAAATTCACTATGTAGACCAGGATAGCCTCGATCTACTGCCTGCTTCTGCCTCCTGAGAGCTGGGATTAAAGGCATGTGCTATCATGCCTGGCTGAAAACAGTTAATAGAATGAAAAACAAGCATGAATTCAGTAATTTTAGATGAGTTTGTATTTTGCTGCTCATAATATACATATGAAAACCATAGCAGGTGTATTCAGAGAACAATGATTTTAGCTGTGCACAATGCTTGGGGACACCATGGTATAAATATCCTCCTACGATAGCTGACTCCTGAGCTGTGCAGTACCTCGTAGTAGAGCATTAGCCTAGCATGCATAAGAAGGTCCTGGGTTCCATCCTTAACATCACAAAAAACAGAATCAAAGATTGGTGAGTTTCCTATCAGGGCTCCAGCATCTTCTTGTCAAGGGAAACTTCAACATAGAAAAGTTACTGTAAAAACCTAAATACTGAGAGCTAGGGTATAATGTTTTTCAAACCTTGTCTTAAAATCCAATAGTTTCATATAAATTCTTACCCTATTACAGGACAGAAACTGACCCTGTTTCAATCCATACTGCAGCCCCTTGGAAAGAAGCTAAAGCATGAGAGGAGAGAGAGGGGAGGGGGACACAAATCACACAGCATCATTACGGGACATTACTTTGAGTAAAATGGGGTGAACAGTCAAGGAAAGATGGCATCTATGCTTATCTTATTACACATGAATAACTATATTGGGAAAGTTCCCTGGGTTCCTCTCTGTCCCCGCTGTAACCCTCAGTATCTTTGTGGCTGTTTCTTGCCTTCCCATTCTCTATTTTTAGGTGCCATAAGGGTTAAGAAAGACAAAAGAAAGAATTCTCAAGTTACTCAGGAATAATGCTCCTCAGAAATGTTCCACCATTAAGAAACAGTGGCAAATTTTCTTTTTAAAATGTGTGTTATATTGCTTTGCCCAGTAAAACCGTGCATTGTAGGTGAATGTCACCATTATTTTTCTCTTTTCAAGTCCAGGAATTTCTGTTGCTGGACTCTCTTAGACAGTCATTTCAAGCAGTCCTACGATTGAACAGCCCGACAGAAATTGTGGTTCTCTGTTTGTTAAATGCTTTTGAGGGTCTTACAAAAAGGGCTGATAATGAAGTATTAAGAGAAACATGTCAAAGGCTGTGGTTGGTCAAATCTCTCTGTGGCACAATGGGAATGATGACCTTCCACAAAACCAGAGGTTTCATTATACGAAGAATCAATATTTAATGTTAAATTTTTAAAAATCATTTTTCAAATGTTGCCAAAAAGCAGAATCTTGGCGAAGAACAAGAGTTTAACTAAAATTGAGACTTATAGGAAAATGCAATTAAAATCTAATTGTATTACATAGGCGATTTGGACGTTTTCCTCTCCAAGTCAGGCCAAGATTCTTAAACCCTGTTTTTAAATTAGAACTTTCTTTCACGTTTCTTTTCTCTTCGTTTCTTTTTGAATCCAGACACTTAAATTTGGACAGACAAGCAACCCAGGCACCTTTCAGTGTGGCTGTGTCAGTATCGGAATGAAGTGAACATGACCCCCTTCAGCAGGGAAGGGAACACACAGTAAAGGTATTTTTTATAGAACAATTCTTCGCACTGCCCTGGTGACTAGGGAAAGGAATCTCGTGTTTCTCTTTTGCAGATACTGAATCAGCTGAAGAATACCATGATCATCAGTAGAAATTCTCTGAAATAGTCTCCACTCCCTTTTGTCTTTTTGTTCTCATGAGACAGAGAATTTCTTTTTCATGTTGAAATGTTCAATTAAAATGCCAATTAAAACTGACCCATTATTTGGTGGTTTTGTTTACAACCAGAAATGTTGCAAATCCTGAAACTTACTTGAAAATAGTTGTACTAAGTTGGCATGCTTTGAAATCAACACTTTAATAAAGATCATTAGGCTCATTTATGATAGTAAGACACTCTCAATTAGCACAGGAGACTTATTCCAGCACATTTCTAGTCTACCTTCCTGAACAGATTATGGAGGAATTGGATTTGCATCTTGGTTAGTAAGTAGATGGTCAAAATGAGAACTAGAGAGAGAGAGAGAGAGAGAGAGAGAGAGAGAGAGAGAGAGAGAGAGAGAGAGAGAAACTCCAAATAGCCCTGCAGTGGGGTTTTCTCAGGTCGCCCGTCTCTCTGTATTATCATACTTGCTTATTAACAGTTCCATGTACCGATGCGTTGCATGGTTCCCCAGATCTAAATGAGATCAGGGATGTTATCAGCTATCTTTTGTGCAACGGTTTAGAGTTTGCAAAGTATTTTCACATGTTATCTGATTTTCTGAGCAGTTTAGGAATTTCTGTAAGTCGAAGAAATTAACTACATTTGTAGAGAAGCTTAGGTCTCTAGAATATTTGATTTCAAACGTTTGTTAACCCAATAGCAGCTCAGTAGTTCCAAGAAACTTAAAATGTCTAGGAAATGGCGATATGTGTAGTTACTTAAATATCTTGAAGAAAAGTCAGAAAATGCAAAATTAGATACTGTGGAATTTTGCTTCCAGCCTTCACCTCAAGGTCAGATGGAGCAGACAGAGGAACTTGCTCTGAAGTGCTTCCTCAGATCCACAGGTAGGTCAGGATTTAGTGTACTGCTACTCTTGGTTTCTCCTCAAATCACTTGGAATTTGTTGGATAATAATTTATAAACATATGCAAACTCCCTTTTACTCCATTCATTTATTGGCAAGGATCCTAAAGATTTACTGAAACCAGCCAGGCACTTTGGGAAAACCCTTCATAGAATGACTTTTCCCAGGAGAAATCTCAAGGCCTCTTACACTTCTGGAAATGAAAATGAGCTTTCTTCAATACATCACATACCCTTACATTCTCAGGTCCAGGCAGAAGTCCAGGCTACTTACCAGGTGTGGCTGAGTTGAAAGGCACAGGTGAAAAGAAAGATGTACACAGGAGGCTTCATAAGAAACATAATCCTCCGAGAAACAGAAAAAGGAAATTCTCAAAAATTGGGAGACAGAGGAGATGGGAAGTATTCTCCTCAGAGGTAGAGGAATGGAATTCTCCTCAAAGCTCAACTTCCTTGTTGTGTAAGCGATCCCAAACAGAGTTAAGGGGAGGTGAAATGGAGCTGCCAAACGTCCAAAGAAGAGATTATCTACTTAATTAAAGTTTTTTTCCCCCTCTAAGTCCTTCAGCCAATCAGAACTCAAGTGCCAGAGAAAGATTGAGTCGATCAAAAGAACACTCCAGGATCCTCCCAGACAAATGCAGAAGGGGACGAGGAGAAAGAGGACAAAGGGGCGGGGGGCACATAGCAACTCCCTTCTACACAATCACTTAATGGAGTCTCTCTTTCCTCTCTCTTGCTTTTCTCTGCCGGCCACATCACAACTGTCCCCCCAGTCACGCACATGTACACACAGACACATAGAGAGAGAGGCTGGTCCCCCAAAGGGAATTAGAGGGGACTATACTTTCCTGGTTGTTCTTTGTAGCACTTTGAGACTGAGTTTGCATTCAGGATAGCTTTTCTGAGAAAAAAAAAATATACCATGTCCTGGTGAACTTCAGGACCTGATTTGAGAATACAAGATCTGTTCTCTCTCTAAATTGAAAAGAATGCTTGGAAACTTTGGGAAGTTGATTCCCTGTCAACTTATTGAGTACCTGTTAGGTTCTCAGCCCAACACACACACACACACACACACACACACCACACACACACACAGATTTCCACCTGAAATACATTTTTGTTTAGTACTGTGATAATAAAAGAGTGTGAATTAATGAAGTTTTGCAAGGCTACTAACTGTTCATAAATCACACAGAGTGATTCAGGAAAAGTTTTCTGAAGACCACGAAGTTTGGGTTTCAAAGAAGGGATGGAATTGCAAGAGTGACTCGGAATCTCTAGTCTGTCTTTCCTTCCTTCCTTCCGTCCTTCCTTCCTTCCTTCCTTCCTTCCTTCCTTCCTTCCTTCCTTTCTTTCTTTC